GATGTGGGGCTCGATCCCAGGACCCTGGGATCACGACCTGAGCCGAAGGCAGATGCTTAACGACTGAGCCACCCGGGTGCCCCAATCCTAGCAGAGTTCTAAGTACTTTCACAGACATCAGCTCACTGAACTCTCACCAGAAACCCAGCAGGTGCTCATTCCCACTGATGCTCAGTAAACCAAGGCACAAAGAGGCTCGTTCACCTCTCCCCTAAGGTCACGTGGCTACAAGCAGCCGAGCTGGGGTCTGGACTCAGCCCGGCTGTGAGGTGCTAACCTCTGCCCTCTACAGCCTCCCCGAAGCCACTCCCCTCTAGGGTTTTATGGCCCCAGCGGCGTGGCTTTCTGTACAAGTTTTGAGGACAACCAGGCCTCAGTTCAAACCCCACTCCACTTGACTCCGTGGGCAGACGCCCATCTGCTCTGCTCCTGCCCTAACCAGGGCAGATGGAACAAAAGCAACTCGCCCACTGGAAGCCTTGAGGAGCCATGAACAGAGGACAGACTGGTCATTTGAGGACACTGAGTTCTTGTGGCCTTAGTCTCCTTGTCAGTACAAACAGACCGAGGTTGCCCACTCCAGAAGTGCTCAGGACCTCACGTAAATGCAGCCGCCCTACCAGCAGCAGAGCCAGACAGAGGAACAAGTCCCAGAAAGAGAGGGTGGTCAGGGACACGGCCTCCCGGCCTGCCCGGGCCGTTTGGGGCAGAGACCTTCCACAGAGAGCAGGAAACCTAAGAGGGGACTCTAATGGGGCTCTGAGGTCAGCAGCTTCCTTCTGGATGGCAGCACACATGGTAATTTGAACCCACACTTGGGCGGCCTTTGGGGCCCCAGCAACTCTGTAAGCTAGCCCAGGACCACACCAGGCCGGGCAGTCCCAGGACGGTGGCTCTGCCTGTCCCTGAGGACAGGTCAGGTGTCCTCTCACGGCTGTGAACAAACTCTGGAGGCCTCAGCCCTGCGGGATCTGTCCCGTTACCCTCAGCCGTGACGCCTCCTCTCCCTGGCTTTCTTTCTAAACATCCCGGATGGAAATCATTCCCAAGAGTTTTCCCTGCTCAACCTACTCCACTTCACATGTGCTCAGAATTTTATTTACTATAGAAAGCTCAGTATTTGTGTTTAAAAAAAAATTAGCTTCCCTTTCAAACTCCATTCCAGGAGACATAATCCACCCCCTGGACTCACCTTACTCTTTCAGAGACCAAGTGCCCCGTGCTCGTGAATGAAAATAACACTCGATACGCACCTGCCTGAGCCATGCAGTGTGCTGTGAGCTAAGGTACTCGGACCTGTGGCTGGGAGGTTTTCACGGACGCCAAAATATTCCACAAAGCAGAAATGCCTCCTTCCGGCAACAAGGAAGCCCCAACACAATTCCACATCATCTTACCTCTTGCACCCCCTTTATATAAAAATGACTTGCTTTTGAATTAAAACAGTAATGGATATCCATTTAAAAATTGGGGGGGGTGGGAGCGCCTGGGTGGCTCAGTTGATTAAGCGACTGCCTTCGGCTCAGGTCATGGTCCTGGAGTCCCTGGATCGAGTCCCGCATCAGGCTCCCTGCTCGGCAGAGAGTCTGCTTCTCCCTCTGACCCTCCCCCCTCTCATGTGCTCTCTCTCTCTCTCATTCTCTCTCGCAAATAAATAAATAAAATCTTTAAAAAAAAAAAAATTGGGGGGGGTGATACAGATGGAAAGATTAAATAAAAATTAAATTACCGGGGTGCAGTCAGTTAAGTATGCAACTCTTGGTTTCGACTCAGGTCATGATCTCGGGGTCATGGAATGGAGCCCTGCTTTGGGCTTTGTGCTCAGGGCAGAGTCTGGTTGGGACTCTCTCTCCCTTTCCCTGTGCCCCTCCCTCCCAGTCTCTCTCTCTCTAAAATAACTAGATAAATCTTTTTAAAAAAAATTACATCCATTACTCTGAGATAAGCACTACTTATTTGAATCTCAGTGTATAACCTTTAGATCTTTTCTGAAGAAAGAGAGAGAACGCACGTATATCTAAAACCCACTTTCTAATCAAGATATGACATACATTTCCATTACACTGGAAAATGCACCAAATCTTAACAGCTTGATGAATTTCACATGTATCTACACCTGCACACCCACTACCTGACCAAAATCTAGAACATCTCCAGCATCCCAGAAAATTCTTGCGTCCTCTGGGTCAAAACCCCAAGTTGTTTCTAGTTTGGGGCTATCATGAACCAAAATACTAAGAACATTCTAGCACCTTTTTTTTTCCCCCTGGATGCATTCTCTCATTTCTTTTGCATATACGCTGAGAGGAGACTGCTGGGTTATAGAATAAGGGTATATTTAGTTAAAAGCCATTAAAGAAAAGCACATTCAGGGCACTTGGGTGGCTCAGTTGGT